CATTGGTCTCTATGGAGAGAAAGAGTCAGGGGCTGTAGTGGTGATATCACACCTAGAGTGGTGAGGCTGTTGGATTGGTCTAAAAATTCTCTTTAACTTGTCCTCATGACCACAGTTTTCACTCCTTTTACCTCAGTTTTTCACTGAATTGTAGACGCATCTCTGCTCTTCCTGACAGTAGAACCATGGAAGCAAATGGATTAACAGAAGATGCACAGTGAGCTGCAGAGTGAACGAGTGCCAACCAACTGCTGCATTGACTCCTATGTAAACAGTATTAGGCAGGTGGTCATAATGTTATGGCTGATCGGTGTGTGTTTAGGAACACATGAATGCCTCTTGATTGACATAAATGAGGTCATGTGATTGGCTGCTGGATTGTGCCATGTAGATCACCTGTATGTAATTAGATACACTTTGTTTTTGTTTTTTGTTTGTTTGCACCCTGAGGAAGGGCTTGTGCCCGAAATGTCTGCTTTGTTTGAATAAATGGATCCAGGAGAGTGCTGTACTCTTCTTTGTTTATGTTGTCTTAACAATTAGAGTTAAATTTCTGCAAGTGCATGAAGCCAAGAGCTGTCTGAGTTGCCCTGTCCTGGTATTAGCTGTTAACTGGAATTGTGGTGAGGTGGCTGTTTGTTGAGGTCATTCCAGTGATTAAAGCTGACCCACTGACTTTACAGTGTGTGCTCCTGGCTGGAGAAGTTACCCGAATGACTTTCACACAGATTATTACAAGACTTTTTATTTGGTTACTGGCTGAGTTTTGTGTGCATAGGAAACGACCCTGAATGTGTGTGTGTATGTGTGTGTATATATATATATATATATATATAGTTCTGATTTAAACACTGGTGGAAGCCTTTGCATGACACCTGGTTTTTAATTGTAGGTCCCACCATCTCATGCCAATACAGGTTGCAATGCATCCTGATGTTGTCTTTGATGTTGTGTTAATTTGCAGCAGTTTCAAAGGAGCACTTGTTCCTGCCGCTGCTGATTTGTACTACTTTCTCTTCCACTCATCGTCCTCTTTGGCTTCTGCTCCTTACCACTTTCCTTCTCATCTGCCTCCCACAGTTGTGTAACTTCTGTATGTGTGTGCTTTCTGTTATCTGCAGCCATCTGCAGAACTCGGGTCATGCTGCACCATTTGTCATTGTGTCAGAGGAGGCCATTGCTAAGGGCATCCGCCGCATTGTTGCTGTGACAGGAACAGAGGCCCAGAAGGTCAGGACACACACACACACACACACACACACACAATCTGTCAACTGATGGACTTGCTTCCAGTATGAGACTTCTACACACACGTATAGAAAAGCATAAAACTAAATAATTATTAGTTGTGTTGTGTTTATGGTAAATTGGATACAACAACAAACCCCTTGACAATACAAATAGAAATGTCTCACAGCCTGAGAGACAACAGGCCTTATTTTGGGCCCTGGTAATGAAACTTAGGTGAAGTTGTTGAGCTTGGAGCTGGAGAAGGGCTTCTCGCATGTCTTCCCACCCTCTAGGCCCTGAGGACAAATTAATATGGAGTATTTTTAGACAACTGTTGCTGTTTGATGTTCCTCTCTGTCCTTTTTCTTTTTGCTTCCAACATTCTGCCTCTTTCCTTCTCGTCTCTCCCTGCACTGTTTGCTCTTGGCTCATCTTACTCCCACCCACTACTCACACATTTGCATCTCACGTTGATCAGGCCCAGAGGAAAGCTCATGCCCTGCACCAGATTCTGTCTGCACTAGGAGATAAGGTGAAGCAGCAAACTGCCCCGAACAAGGACATTCAGAAAGAGATCGCTGACATGACAGAGGTAAATTATGTTTCTGTGCTACAGAGACTTGAGAATGATTTTCTGCTGTGGTATCAACATGTCAGTCCTTTGGGCAGTTAAATGGCACAGCAGTGATCTCCCAGTGGCAGAAGGATGAGATGAGAGAAACCTTGAAGGGCCTGAAGAAGATCATGGACGATCTGGACCGCAACTGCAAGGCCGACATCCAGAAGAGAGTCCTGGAAAAGACCAAGGAGGTGATCAAAAGCAGCCCCAACCAGCCGCTGCTCGTCATGGAGATGGAGACCGGAGCCTCACCGAAGGTGGGAGTCGGAGGATTTTTACCTCCCTCCAGAATTAAGTGTACTGAAAATTCAGCATCCAACAGCGTCCCTGTAAAAGAAGAACATACGTAGATACACAAAACATTTATAACCCAAACCCTAAAACTTGATTAGCACCCTGGACAAAATTAATGCAAAGTGCAAACAATTGGTTGTTGCATTATTCCATGTAGCATATACATAGTAGTAATAGTATTCTTATTATATGTAGCATATATTCTTATTTTATATTACTATTTATTTATTTTTATTTTATATTTAGACTCTATTGTTTGACATTCATTGTGGACAGCAAATGAAGAATTTCATTGTGCAGGGAAACGTTTCCTTACAGCACACTTTGAATTGAATAGAATTTTCTTAGACTCTTAGAGTCTTGTGCAGTAGTGTCTGACTTTGTGTTATTGCCATGGGACCAGCTCAGCTCTGTGGCCCATTAGTTCTCACCTAGCAACACCTGTAGTGCTGATGACTTTTTTTCCTTCTCTCCATTTCCTTCCTCTTCCATTTATTCTGCACTCCATCTTTTTTCAGGCTCTGAATGAGTCACTGAAGCTGCTGAAGTCAAACTCTCCTCAGACAGCTGTGATGCTCTTCACTGTAGATCCTGATGCCGGCAAGATTACCTGCCTGTGTCAGGTCCCACAGGTAACACCCATTTAGTTGACCCGAGTGCCTTTTAGTCATGATGTTGCCAGATACAGTGTTGTGAAATCCAGTTTTTATTAACTGTGATTGTTGAGTAAAGTGAATGCCTTTTCTCTCATTTGATGATTTTGAAAATGCAATCCATGCATTTGTTAGTTCTAGGCTTGACTACTGAAATTCACTGTGTTCTGGAGTCAGTTAATCGCTTCTTTCATGTCTCCAGTTGGTTCAAAATGCTGCTGCTCATTTACTGACGAATTCACCCAAGTATAAGTAAATCTCACCTGAACTGGCTCCTGGTTCCCTTTAGAATTTAATTAAAGTTGCTGAGTTTTGTTTTTAAAGTTTTAAATGGTTTGGCACACCGGTATCTCAGCGATCTTATTCAGTGGCACATCTCAGTTAGATCTTAATTTTTGTATCTTATAAAGGTTCTAATATCCCTTCACAAATGATGTGGTGATAGGGCTTTTGGCATCATGGCCCCCAAAACTTTGGTATTATTTGCCTTTAATATTAGATCTGTTATAGATTTGGCTGTTTAAATCTTTCCTTAAGACTTTATTTACTAAGGCATTTACTTCTTAATGGAGTCTGATATTTATTGTTGTTGGCTCTTATTTTAGTTAGTTGACTTTGTTTTAATGTTTTTAATTAAGCATTTTTCTGTCTGTTGTGTGAGGCACTTTGGTAGACCAGATGTAAGGTGCTATATAAATACAGTGGTGCGAAAAAGTGTTTTCCCCCTTACTGATTTATCTTTTTGCACGTTTGTCACACTGTAATGTTTCAGATCATCAAACAAATTTAAATATTAGTCAAAGATAACACAAACACATCATGCAGTTTTTAAATGAAGGTTTTTATTATTAAGGGATTGCAGAATTGTTGTAAGTCAGCCACATTGGAGGGTTTTCGGGCATGAACTGCCTTTTTAAGGTCATGCCACAGCATCTCAATTGGATTCAGGTCAGGACTTTGACTAGGCCACTCCAAAGTCTTCATTTTGTTTTTCTTCAGCCATTCAGAAGTGGACTTGCTGGTGTGCTTTGGATCATTGTCCTGCTGCAGAACCCAAGTTCGCTTCAGCTTGAGGTCACAAACGGATGGCCGGACATTCTCCTTCAGGATATTTTGGTACACAGCAGAATTCATGGTTCCATTTATCACAGCAAGTCTTCCAGGGCCTGAAGCAGCAAAACAGCCCCAGACCATCCCACTACCACCACCATATTTTACTGTTGGTATGATGTTCTTTTTCTGAAATGCGGTGTTACTTTTACGCCACACATAATGGGACACACACCTTCCAAAAAGTTCAACTTTTGTCTCGTCTGTCCACAGAGTATTATCCCAAAAGTCTTGGGGATCATCAAGATGTTTTCTGGCAAAACTGAGACGAGCCTTTATGTTCTTTTTGCTCAGCAGTGGTTTTCGTCTTGGAACTCTGCCATGCAAACCATTTTTGCCCAGTCTCTTTCTTATGGTGGAGTCATGAACACTCAGCTTAACTGAGGCAAGTGAGGCCTGCAGTTCTTTGGATGTTGTTGTGGGGTCTTTTGTGACCTCTTGGATGAGTTGTCGCTGCGCTCTTGGGGTAATTTTGGTCGGCTGGCCACTCCTGGGAAGGTTCTCCACTGTTCCATGTTTTCGCCATTTGTGGATAATGGCTCTCACTGTGGTTCGCTGCAGTCCCCAAGCTTTAGAAATGGCTTTATAACCTTTTCCGGACTGATAGAGCTCCATTATTCTCTTTCTCATTTGTTTTTGAATTTCTTTGGATCTCGGCATGATGTCTAGCTTTTGAGGATCTTTTGGTCTACTTCACTTTGTCAGGCAGGTCCTATTTAAGTGATTTCTTGATTGCGAACAGGTGTGGCAAGAGAAATTGAACTCAGGTGCGATAAACCAGTGTTTTGACAGGGGGGCAAACACTTGTTCACACAGGGCTCTATAGTTTTGGATTTTGTTTTCCCTTAATAATAAAAACCTTCATTTAAAAACTGCATGATGTGTTTACTTGTGTTATCTTTGACTAATATATAAATTTGTTTGACGATCTGAAACATTACAGTGTGACAAACATGCAAAAAGATAAGAAATCAGTAAGGGGGCAAACACTTTTTCACACCACTGTACATTTTGATTTGATATCTAACCTATGTCACCCTCCTCCTCACTGCAGGATGTGGCCAACCGTGGTCTGAGGGCCAGTGCATGGGTTCAGGAGTTGTGCCCCCTGCTAGATGGCAAAGGAGGTGGCAAGGACTTGTCCGCCCAAGCCACGGGCAGGAACATGCAGTGCTTGCAGGAGGCGCTACAGATGGCAAACGAGTTTGCCCGGCTCAAACTGGGAGAGAACTAGAGTGAGGGGTGGAGAGAGGAAGTGATATTGTGAATGGGAATAAGGTCAAGGATTCCTGAGTCTTAACAGAGTTAGAAATCTAACACTGCTTTCTTTGCTCCATTTCCCCCTTCTGTTCTTATGTTTTGGGTCAGAAAAGATTAGAAAACAAAACTCCTGGTTTGTCCTTCCATTGATAGATGACCACTGACACACCCTGCAGTCAATGAGTCATTTTTTATTGATTAAGAATGTGGTGGCTGTCCCTTCCCAGTAAAATTCATCTCTGTGGGAAATGCTTGACTGTATACAAAGGGCCTGTGAAGCAGTTAAAAAGCACAGTGGGTGATTCTGAGGAATTTATTTTAGTGTGTGTCCACTTTCTTGCATGTGTACAGATGAAATGAGAAAGGATGTTTCATTAGATTTGGATTTAGTCTCCTACAACTACTGTACCACTCATGAAGCAACAGCACCTGTAGTTTCCATCTCAGGCTCCTGTTGAGCACAAAGCTGTCTCTTGATAAATGTCTATCCCACCTCTGTGTTTGTTTCATGTAACTGTAGTTGTGTTAACTGACAAACAACCCCCACAGTACTTTGTTTCCCACTTGTTCAGGGCTGCTATAATCTGCAAAACCTCTAACTTTTGGCTTCCTATACCACTTAAGATCAGCCTGGAAAAGAAAAGTGAGAAGTCAGATTTATGTACAATATCCACAGCATGTCCTTTGTTGGCTGCCGGATTTGATCTGATCTCTGAACACTGGCTTCATGCATTTGTGTGAGTGAAGGCTTGAGTTTATGTCCTGAAACTGGTCGGCGCTTATGTATACGCACTGTGGCTGTAATCAATGGGCTTAATTTAATAAATTGATTCGTTTAGTGTATAAAACGATCAGGAACATGTCCAGTAATTAATCAGTGTAACTTCATTTCCCTGCCATTTAACTTTGATTAAATGTATAATGTTGAAAACATCTTTCACCATTGTGGCTGTTTCATGTCAGAGAAATGTCAGGTTATGGGAAGAGAATAAATATACCTTTTAAATGCCACGTGTCTATTCTATTGTTTTCACAAGTGCCATTTGTATTGATGACTAATTTCAGGGAGGCTTTGGAGATCTGATCACTTGCACTGCATGGGTAGACTGAGATCATTAGATGTGGATCACTAAATAAAATCACAGGTTAATTCAATGGAAAGCTCCGGAAACATTTGTTTATTAAATCGGGTGTGAATTTAAATGAGAGGGCAGCTGTGCACTGTGTTCAGAGTGTATTGTAGCTTTTGGCCACTTGTGGGCAGCTGAAAGAAACTGAAATGCAGATGCATTATTGCTTTCTAAGACAACAGCAAACACTCGTGTACTTGTGCATCCAGCAAACAATCAGCATTCATTACATACACACAGGCTACATCCACGCACAGAGTAGCAATGTATATTTTCTTTTTTTTGTGTGTGTGTGTGTGTATGTGTGTGTGTGTGTGTGTGTGTGTATGTATGTATGTATGTATATATATATATATATACACACACACACACACACGTATATGTGTGTGTAGCTTGGGCTGAGCTACATCTAGCAGACCCCGCACCGGCTAACTGGGCCTGGCTAGCTGGGCTGGTTTTTAAAAGATCTGAATTTTTTTTGTGTTTTGTAGGCACATTTGTCAGTGTCTTCACTTGGATGAAGATCAGATGACATTTTATGACAAATTAACGCAGAAAACTATGAAATTCCAAAAGGTTCACATACTTTTTCTTGCCACTGTTTGTGTATATGTGTGTATACACACACACACACACACACAAAATCAAGTAGTAAAGTACTATAGTTAAAAATTATGCTTATGTGTTACAGTACCTGTTCTACTAGCACCAGTGTGAGGCTGTTTTTATATAAATGTTATTGCTACTTTATCTTTGTAGTCTAATACAGCCATAATTTACAAACAGGACACTAGACTTGTCTCATGAAGCTTTTATTTGTACAATGGCATAAGTTACAGTCTGGTCACATATCATACAGATGTTTCAGTATAGTAAATACATGTTTATTGCCTTGTCAAAAACACACCTACAGAAGAATGATAAATACAGTCAAGCTGAGACTAGATGATGAATCCAGACAGCAGAAAACCACCGGCATGCAAAGATTTCACTCATCCAAACAGCTCAACTCTCCACGTTTAAAATCCCTACAGCATCTGCTTCGTATGAGTCCCCTGTATGTTATGGTAGATGTATTCACTTAGAAGCCTTTAATCTGACTTTGTAAGTCCAGTTGTGTTGGTGACTTTACAGTAGTAGCACTATAGCTGCTACAGGTGTGAGTGTTAATGGTACAGTCCACAGAGACAGTATGATATGTGCAGTCTGCAGCTCTGT